TACTACTGCTACTACTACTACTACTAATACTACTACTACTACTACTATTACTAGTACGACGACTACTACTACTACTACTACTACTACTATTACTAGTACGACGACTACTACTACTACTACTACTACTACTACTACTACTTTCGAGACCAGAACCATGCCAATAATTGACATGGCCGCGCAGATGTTTTCAGGTCAGAAGGACATTCAAGCTAGCTCCAATTGAAAACAGGTCAGAAACAGGTCAGAAACACCAAAAAGGCAGCACTTGCCTAGCATCCCATCCATCCATCCATCCATCCATCCACCTCAGCTCTTATCATTGCTACTAATACTACTACTACTACTCCTGCTACTACTACTACTGCTACTACTACTGCTACTACTGCTACTACTACTACTACTCCTACTACTACTCCTACTCCTACTCCTACTTCTACTCCTACTCCTACTCCTACTCCAAACGCAACCTCTCTCTCTCTCTCTCCCTTGCCTATTCCCTCACCCTCCTACCAGCACAAGCTTATTTTGCTCCCAAATTTGAAATCGAATGCGTTCACGCATGGATCCTTACTCTCATTACTAGATTTGTTACTACCCCCAGCACTACCACCACACCCGCTGCTACTGCACCACCCTGCACCACCACTACCACCACTACCACTAGTACACCTAGGAATTTCTGCTCTTGCTTTTAAATCCAATTGCACTCGTGTGAAGGGTCAGAAACGAGTCAGAAACCAGTCAGAAACCAGTCAGAAACCCGTCAGAAACCGGCCAAAAGCAATCTCTCTCTCTCTCCCTTGCCTATTCCCTCACCCTCCCATCAGAACTCCTACGCCTACTCCTATTGCAATTTCCACTACCACTACTGCTAGTGCTACTGCTACTGCTAGTCCTGCTGGTACTACTGTGAGTTTTCCGGACCGTTTCCGGACCGCGCAAGCTTATTTTGCTTCCAAATTTGAAATCGAATGCGTTCACGCATGGATCCTTACTCCCACTACTAGATTTGCTACTACTCTTAGTACTACCCCCACACCCGCTGCTACTGCACCACCACTACCACTAGTACACCTAGGAATTTCTGCTCTTGCTTTTAAATCCAATTGACACGAGTTCCGCTGAAGGGTCAGAAACGAGTCAGAAACCAGTCAGAAACCAGTCAGAAACCAGTCAGAAACCCGTCAGAAACCGGTCAAACGCAACCATCTGTTTCCCCCTCCCTCCCTCTCTCTTTCTCTTTCTCTCTTTCCCTCCCTCTCCCTTTCTTCCCTTGCCCTGCTACTAGAACTCCTTCTCCTATTCCTACTCCTACTCCTACTCCTACTCTTACCCCTCCTACTCCTACTCCTACTCTTACCCCTCACTACTACTACTACTACTACTACTACGACTACTACTACTACGACTAGTACTACTAGTACTACTAGTACTACTAGTACTACTAGTACTACTAGTACTACTAGTACTACTGCTGCTGGTACTACTGTGAGTTTTCCGGACAGTTTCCGGACCGCGCGAGCTTATTTTGTTCCCAAATTTGAAATCGAATGCGTTCACGCATGGATCCTCATTATATAATACATAACTTATATTTTATGTAAATGATCTGATCAACGAAGAACAAACCCTTCCGCGATTGCTCACTGTGGTACCGCGGTTGCTACGCGATTGGCTGAGCGATTGAGGGCTGTCCGGGAAAAGGTATTTTGGACAACCCCCATATATATATATAGTGACGGACAATCACTTAGAACGTATTTTGGAAAAAAAATTCTGAATATTACTGCTTTTTTTACGTTCTAAGCCTTGCACTTAGAACGTCGAAAACCATACACTTAGAACGTCCAAATATCAAGATTCATCACTTAGAACGTAACGGGGATTTAACACTTAGAACGTGTCTAGGTCACTGATGATAGTGGAAAGGCTTGTGAAATCTTTTATCTCTAAGTGTTGGATCCAGCAGCTAATTCCGTAGGAAGCATAGAAATAATTTCGTACCATTTGGCTTTTCCCTCCCATATGATGTGCAAATATTGGCGATCTTTTATCTCTGGAACACTCTACCTTTTGGTGCTTTTTGGGGGTTCTGAGTTCTGATGTTCTAAGTGTTGGATTCAGCAGCTAATGCCGTAGGAAACATAGACATAATTTCGTACCATTTGGCTTTTCCCTCCTATATGATTTGCAAACATTGGCGATCTTTTATCTCTGGAACACTATACCTTTTGGATCCTTTTGTTGCTTTTTGGGGGTTCTGATGTTCTAAGTGTTGGATTCAGCAGCTAATGCCGTAGGAAACATAGACATAATTTCGTACCATTTGGCTTTTCCCTCCCATATGATTTGCAAATATTGGCGATCTTTTATCTCTGGAACACTATACCTTTTGGATCCTTTTGTTGCTTTTTGGGGGTTCTGACGTTCTAAGTGTTGGATTCAGCAGCTAATTCCGTAGGAAACATAGACATAATTTCGTACCATTTGGCTTTTCCCT